GCGTTGACGTTGCCCAAACCGCACCTCTGGGTTCGGTACAACGAGCACTGCCCGATCGCGAATTAATCAGCCAATAGATTGTTTCGCAGGAGCAGCACACGTAAGCTGCTAGGTAAGTTCCGCACGTATCAGTGCCGCGCGGCCGCTCACTAGAAGACTTTGCCACATGCAAGGCGCCAGGGGAAACCTCCAGATATTCGTCGGAAGTTGCCTTGTTGGAAGAGTTTGAATTCCGTGTCGGCAGGTTTAACCGAATCCATCGGCAATGCAGCCTTCCCTCGCCATGCAAGTGCGAAGTTTTGATCTCTCATCGCTCCTTCCTGGCACCAACAGCAGCATATGATTGTGGCGTAAGTTGGTTGATGAGATGAGATTTCACTGAGATCCATGGTTGCGATACACTGAAACCAACCTGGGGAGGCTTACATTTGACACGTGATTCCCTTGCCGTTTCTGCCTGCGCGTTCCTCTATGCGAGTACTTCTTCGCTGCGCCTTTCGGATTAATTCACAGTGCAGCGCAACGATAACCCCCACCCTCAACCCGCGCAATCACCATGAATCTTCCTCATCTCCTCTCGTCCTCGCTAGCGCCAGTGCAGGAGACTCTCATTTCGTACCTCGGCCCGAAGGAGTTCTCGACATTGATTGAAGTGTCGACAGGCGTTCGTACTGCGCTCATCAGCGGGCTTCCTTCATGCTACCAGAACATTGAGACAAAACTCAAAACCTTCTTCCAGGATCCCAAGGCGTTCAGACAAGTTCAAGCCAACACCGGCGCGATCATTGGCGGTGACTTTGCCCGCAAGTTCATTGCTAATGAGCTGCAAACTCCCGTGCAAGAACTATACATCTATACACAGTACTCAGAGGTTAAGCCCTTGGACCTCCGTGCCCCAATATTCGACTTCCTGGAGCAAGAACGGTGGATCGCTGATGAGTACAACATGACGGGCTTGACCATATTCCGAAAGTCGCAGGCCGAGTATGATGGGTTGACCGTCTGTGTCTTGGATTCGAGGGATTCTCCTCTATGCAAATTGCTCCACGCGGCTTCATCTACCGCGACATTAAACTTTATCACTTGGAACAGGGCATACTCTTTGTTCCCGCAGACTACCTTTATCGACAAGCAGTGTTACGTATTGCAGAACCTGCCTGCGGATAAGACCGCGGGTATGGTAAAGCGACATGGTGATTACCTTCGGGGTCTGACATGCGACGGTATCCAGACTCGATTTCTGCATTGGGAAGATAAGTATACGAACCTTGTTACTCGCCCCCGCCGCGTCGGCGATAAGTATACGTATACGATTGGACTTGACCCTACAGGTATCGATTGCAGCACATTAGCGATACCGCAGACTGTCGTGGAGTTATCTACCTTTAAAATCAAGCTCTGGCATTGGAGAAACAGGAATGGTGGACGTGGGCCGATCACAAGTTACGTTATGAGTGCAATTGGCGTGGATAGCGCTGTCCTCAAACAGTCCTATGTAGTCCTGCATGAAGACGAAAAAGATCAATGGGAGCCCGACCAGCCGGCACCATCTAGGCTCTTTAAGAAGACGATCCATCTTGTATGCCAGATCGGTGGCTTGCCGATATTGGAGCTTGCAAAACTGCCAGAGAACGACCGCCCCATCGAGTACAACAACATTATGAACCAGAGGTCTCGCGAGGTGTTCGGGTGGAAAAGCACCAAGGTACCAGAGACGTGGTCATACTACGACGACGACTTTATGAAGCAGCTGGGGAAGCTGTGGAGGGAGCACGAACGCGACGAGATGGAGAAGGGCGATGATCGGACTAGCCAGTAATGAGAGCGACTGGAGGCGAAGCCGGAGCAAGTCGGCGTTTCGTCGGACGAGAGCGAGGATATAGCGGTTCGTTGGAGAGCGGTTAGTCGCGCGTGTGGATGAGGAATGTTTACAATAAAATGGCGTCAGTGCGAGTTAAAGAACTCGTAGACAACTTGTGGTATAATGTCAGTCATCCAGCTGAATTAGCGTCATAGATAGCGGTGGCCAGCGTGAGGCGGAAGAACAATTGGCGTTCTGAACCCAAGCCTTCCATATCTGTTTGTATGATCGTTCGCAGTTGCCTGAAGGTTGCAGACTTCGACTTGATGATGAGTTGCCGTGCTGATGATCGTGCGTACTGGCCGATGCGGGGTTCTTTGTGACAAAGCGCGTGGATGAACCTGAGATCGGAGGTTGTCGTATGATCATCCCAACTATGCGCAACCATACGGGGTGTAGATGGGATGAGATGGATGGCGACTCGGTGACGCGATGTGAGGTGCTGAAGTGAGGAGTTGCTTCCGTAAAGAGGAGAATGTTGTCAGCCAAGCCGCTAATGTCCGAATGCGGTTGTGACGCGTTCAGTCGCGCCGTCGACGCGTCGGAACTTCATCAGCAACACGCCGCTCTCTGCCACCAATGCATTCGCACCGCCCTTCGCTATCACGCACATCATACGCAGGGCGCTCTCGATACCTCCAGAATGCTTAACCTGCTCTTCAATCACTGTCTTGAGAGTTCCCAATTCGCTGTCAACGAACTACTGATGGACAGCAACCAAGGAAGGACCCATTTCACAATGCCGCCTTTTGTGAAACTTGCGCACCAGTGCTATCACGGTTCCAATGGATGACAGAAGCTCTTGCAGAACAATTGAGCCATTCTTTTACATACTTTGCGACAGTATTGAAGTCTTATCCTGGAACACTCGTATCCATCGCTTGAATCGTCTCCAGCCGACGTTGGTATCAGTTTTGTACTTGCAGTCATCATAGTCTCACAGCGTACAAGACTTTTCCCATGAATTCTCTCGGCAGGAAGCAAACATGCAAGCACATAGCCCTCGAGTCAACTGTGCTATCGCGATGCTTCAAGTAGCAAACTTGCGAAGATGATGAGATTCACTCAGCGGAAGCGCCTCGACAGGTTAAAAGCATGTGTGAGATTTTCCTTTCCACCCATCACCAGCTTACAACCTTCCAAGCTCTTAACCAGTCACTCTTTTCAACTCGACCGATCGGAATCCAGGTGATACTCGCAACCTCTCTCGACACATCGGCCCTGTCCACCGAAGGCATTATGTCTCAAGACCACTACCAGGACAATAACAGTTCTCCTGACTACATCGACGACATTCTCAAAATGAGCTCTCAAGACCTGCAACTCCTCTATGAAGCTCAATTCCCAACAACTATGGATAACGAGGGCACAATGCTGTCTGCCAATGGCGACCCTGTGTATTTTGCTCAACCTGGCATTCAAGATTATGGCATAGGGAATTATCAGCCGAATGATGTTCCTCTATCTGCACTTGACGATGGTCAGTATCAAAATGGCTTCAATGGCTACAGCCAACCGATGCTCGAGCAGTCTTCACCCCAGCATTATGCAGGCACCCCACCTCCTCGTTATTTATCCATAGAGCCTGTCAGTGCTACGAATACGCCAACACATTTGGTGGACGTACACTCGCCATTCGACCCCTGTTACAGTTACATGACACCCAGCCCATCGGCACCCTCTCCAGCTACTGCAATAGCTCTAGTTCAACCCAAGTTTTTTGGACTTTCGTTTCGGAATCTGGCAGAAGCGAAGGATAGCATGCTTAACCGCTATATCGAAAACGACTGGGTGCCGCCTGCCAATGACAGCACTATTCCGACTACTGACGAAGACCGAGCTGGACACGTCGCTGAGCTACTAGCAGCAATGAAAGACACTTCTGCCTGCCCGGACAACCAAGACAAGGACCGATTTGCGAAACGATTGACTCCAGGTGCCAAAAAGGCGATTTATGAAGACCAGATGGAGAAGGTGTGCTGGCAGCTAGTTGACACCGCTGAGAAACTACATTTCTTCGGCCCGAAATCGTTCTCCATCTACGACACGACGCCACTGCAGACGATGTACAAATCCCGCAACCTTACTTTTGGTGAGCGTATAGATAGTCTCTGTGAGCTCTTACGGCTTTCCAAGGGTCGCTGCTTCTCGCTGCTCAAGGGTGAGAATCTTGAAACTACTGTGGGTGCGGCTCCCGATAAAATTACAGGCACAATCCTGAACAATGAACAGAATGGAAATCGCCAGAAGTACATCGCAGAAGGTCGAACGAGGGTGAAAGAGAAAAAGGCTACGACGTCACCGGAAGATCAAGCCTCAGTCACGGACGGTGATAAGGAACTCGAGTCAGGTGTCGCAATGAGCCTGCCTTCGAACGACCTTGAGGAAGAGTTGCATCTAAATGTCGCGACGAGCCTGCAATCATCGGGGCCTCTGCCACCTGCCGACATTGGGGCGAGTATCATCGGCGACGTCCAATCGAACAATACCCAGACTGTCTCTCAGTACGCGGGCGACAATGGCGGGCAGTACGAGAACAACCAGCATGTCACTGGGAACTCTTACCGTCATGGCCCTCAACCTGTCTTCCATCACGCTCTGCCCTCGCCTGGGATGCTATCCCCGAGCATGCGTTCGTCGAACATGGTTTCACCAAACATGCTTTCGCCATCCGCCTCGTACGCGCCGACTCCAACGCCATCGCTGCACGGAATATACTCCCCGAGCACGCAGCCATCGCCGGTGATGCCCTGGACGCCGTCGCCGTCTTATATGCCGCACATGACCCAAGCCTATTCGCACACTCCATACCAACACCTAGTTGCCATCCCTAGACCCAATCGGGTGATGAAACGCAGTGCCGAAGATGCGCAGCTCGGCATGGATCCTTATGCACCCGTCCAGCGCCCACGCTTTGATGATCAACAGACCTACTGGCAATGAGCCCGGACCTATCGCGGAAGAGGATGAAGCTGTAGAATACTGGTGTAGTTGTAGCTGGTTCGTATGAATGTAGTCTACACATGGAAGATTTGGTATCAGGTACCACTATAATGAATGGAAATCGGACACGGCCAAAGTTATTCTTCTCTGCCCCAAACATGTGAAATAGGCATGCCATCATCGCCTGCTTAATCCATCAAGAACTTTCATCCTGGTCCGCCTTTATGCTTCTCTCGAGCCAGTCTCTCAACTCATCCATGAGTCCACATTGCCCTTTCTCCACTAAGCCCAAAAGACTTTTGGCACTCTCCGCTGGTAGAAGCACCTTGTATGTGTCGATAGCCCCGGTCTTCTTGTGCTCTTCCGGCAGTAGTTCTCTCACTATCATACTGAACCAGACTAGGCACTTGTTAGTGTGAATCGACAGCGTCACGGAGATGAGTTGACATACAAATCCTCTGGTATTCCCGGTTCTTCCAATCTGCAATGCCCTTCGTATTCTCTAGGTCTGACCCGGCGCCCAATATAAGACTATCCATTTTTGGCCCATCGTCCGTTGTCCCCTTCGTATTGCGAATCGTTGTTAGACGGCTTATATTCGGCGGTTTGATCCAGTCGAATAAAGGTTTCTTTTCCGGATTTTGTTCGAGGTTTTTGCTGTATTTGTATACAGCGTTGTCCTCTTCCTCGACCTTCCAGCCAAATCTGTGTTCACAGTTCCACTGTGCGAGAAAATCGGTCGTGCAGGATTGGAGTATCGTTCCGTTCCACACAACACATCCGACCACGAAAAACCTTCGACGTTCATCGTCACGTTTGGCGTCGGGGTTAACCAGTGCTAGCCGAGGGTTTCCTTTAGCTTGCTCCAAGAATAACGGTGGCGGGTTGAGCTCGGACAATGCCTTATAGGCAATACCCCAAGGCTTACTCATATCCAGCTCATCCGGGTTTTGGGGTTGATATTCGAATTCATCTCCATCGTATTCTACAAGCATTGTGTGGAGAGCCTAGAGGAGGCAGGATGTATTTTCTCGTAGTGTTGTATAAGTGAGAAAGATCCAAGCATTACTGAGCACAATTTATACTCCAAAGAGTATGAGCAATCATATAACATGACTGGATTGCCTCTGTTTGCCGTGAGTCGTGTTGTCCGGCAAATACCTACGAGGTGAGTGATGTGTCTTCATTGAAGAGGTTCGACGTCGCGGTAGTCTTCGCATGGCCTGGCGCACTGGGGTGGGTGAGGAGCGCTTCCAGGAGAAGGCGCACGTATGATACCGAAATTGGGATACTCAACGCCATGAGTTACCCATCCATCTCGTTGTTGTCCTCACTCTTCTTTCCCGACATCGCCTCTAGCCCACTCGGGTCCCTGCCCTTCTTCCTGGTCTTTCGCCAACTTCTTCTCAAGCTCCAGCCTCGCCTTCTCGCCAAACTTCTTCTCCCACTCCTTGTCTCGCTCTTTCTGCGGCGCGGCGAACTGCGTACTCAGACCACCTCGACTCTTGACTTGCATCTTCTTCTCCGCAGCCTCGTTCTGCTTCAATTGCTCCTCCGCGCTCTGAATCCTGCGCTTGAGGCTGATCTCAAACATGTCCCTTCCTTTGTGCCTCCCCTTGAGCCCGTTGTCGTCCTTGTCGAAGTAGACGGCCCAACGCAGCCCTTCCTTGCCCCACGGTGTGTCCGGGTCTTCGTCGGCGCCATCCCATTCGTCGATGGCCATGAAACCCTCCCAGCCTTCGAATGTGAGATGCGTCTCGTCTTCAGTCCAGTCCCAGACACCCACGTGATGCATGATGCTGCCGGTGCGGTTCGAGTAGCGCAGCTCGTACGTCTTCTTGTCGCAATAAACCCAGTTCAGCATCGGCGGGTCGTCGCTGATCGTGGTAACCAATCCCCTCTCCGGCGGACTCCTATCTTCATCTGGGTATGCAATATAAAAGCCTGCAAATGCATGCAGGGGCTCCTTCCCTTCCCCATCTATCCCGTCCGGCCACATGGGCTTGTTGTCCGCGTCCCTGGGCACGACCCAGACTTTGTCGTGGCGCACGACGAGGATGCCATTGTCGATTTCTTCCTTCGCGATCGGATCGGGGTCGTCGCAGGCTACGAGGCAGTTGAATTTCCACATGCGCGACTCGTTGGCGGCTTCTTCGTTCTGCTTCTTTTGGTGCTCGACACCTTGCGCGACGCCGGTAACGACGGGGATGGCGACGACGCAGCCGCCGAGGAAGATACTCAGGGGAAGCGCCATTTCGAACTATGCGATTGAGGGGTAAGGAATCGGGTTTAGAGCGGTGGCATCGTGGGAGGTCGGAAGGCTGTTGTCTGGTGTGGTTCAGCCGACGGTGGGATGCGAAATCGCGTTGCGTCATGATCGACAGGGAGCCTTCCCCGATAGAGACTAGTAATCTACCCGTCGCTGCCACGGTGCATCCAAACTCACGGAACGACATCCTCTTGGCTTTGGTAACCTCCACGGTCAGCGCCGAATTGCATCTTTCATTTCCAGGCAAAACCGCGTTTTTGGTGTTTACGCAGTGTACGCGCGCTGCACGAGACCGCGATGACTGACCACAGCTTACGGTTGACTTCAAATGCAGAGAAGACCACACGCTCGTCGCTTGTTGACAGAAAGAGATCGCACACATCGATAACTATGGTACGATTTATTATTTTGACATGTCCATTCGCTAGAATTGTAAACGGCACAGTTCTAGTTGGTCGGCTGGGCCCACTCTTATCCAGCCGACCAGAGTTCAGGATGGATAGTCGCGTAGAGTCAGAGGTAACTCTTGTACCATGGAGTAAACCGTAGATTATGGTAGGTTTGCTGCTCATATAAAACACTCTTTTGTTCTCATTCAAACTCCATCTTGACATCTCATCTCATCAACATTTTCTCCAACAAAATGTTTTTTCACCTCTTAGCAAACGTCGCCGACGCAATGTGCATGCATCCAGACCACCTGGGCGAAGATTCCAATACGCAATACATACCGTCATCGTATTTGGCTCTAAAACATCGCAAAACATCCAGCAAGCCTGTTCGAACCGGTCGTCCCCTCCGGTCGAGTGTCCCAAAAGTTCTCTCCCGAGCGAGAAGCCCATCGCCATGCCCATTCACCCACCAACCACTAGCGCAAGAATTGGAGCAATTTCCGGCATATGAAGAAAACGACGGCGACTGGGAAGACTGGAAGCGGAATAATGGAAAGGTTACAGTAAATGACCATGACATCGGCCACTGCATTCGACACTGCGAACATCGCATATGCCGCTCCATTACCGACAAAGACAGGAAGCGCAATATCGAGCCCAAAGCATGCAGATGTTGCAGGCAACTTCCTATTCTCGAAGACAACACTTTCAGGCAGGAAAGGATATCGCGTCTTCGACTCCAGGATATCCTGGCCGCCCAAAGAGCATTTGAGAACGCTGACTGTGGCGAGGCAATCACCATGGACCTAAAATCCGCCACCGCCCTAGTCAGAAAGATGCGAAGCATGGCATATCTTGATGTTACAAAGTATCTCCGCGGATCCAAACACTTCAAGAGAAGCACCACGCTTTACCCTGCGCAATACCTCGCCGCTACACGTGCAGCTAACATACTCATCTCCAAACTGCTCAACTACCTCTCGATCACGCTATCGCCCCTCAAGAACCAAGCCCGCACACTCACCATCGCGGAACTGGTCAAGGAAATGACGGAAGTCATGCGTTTGGACATCTTCTGGTGGGTGTCAGAATGGTGTTTCCGCAACCAGGTTGAAAAAAGGGATAATGCTGTGGAGAGAGCGTGGAAGCTGAAAGGGTGCTTTGGCTTGGCGAGAAGGACTTGGATTAAGGGAGCGATGAGTAAGGGGGTTGAGGTACTGTTTGAGAGGATGGAAGGGATTGTAGAGATGGTTGTTGCGATGCTGTTGTGGTGGGATAAGGAGATGAGGACGGAGAGAATGAAGAAGGCCTGGTGGGAGTTTGAGAGCTGTGGGAGTGAGGAAAGCAGCGAGAGTGGAGAGAGCAGCGACAGTGAGGAGAGCTGTGATTTTACCTGGAGTTAGTGTACTTGATGTCTCGTACGCCGGATCAGTACCGTCACAAGCAATCAAAGAGTGAAAGCTCCCGTGTGCATCCACCATCAATCCGCGGTCGAGCAAACCCGAACACAGCGCTCAGTACACACCTCATATACGCACAACGTCCCTTTCCAGACGACCAAAACCATCTCAACCAAAACCATTGTATTTCACTCCCTCTCCCGAGCAAACATCCACCAAGCACCCTTTCACCCGAAACAATGAAGTTCACAGAAACCGACTTCCTATCCACATCCCCCACACCACCCAAACCTCCACGCTCACACCTCCGCATCAAGATCCCCTCCTGTAGCCTTCGCCTCCCCGTCGCCCCGCCATCCCCTCTCTTCGCCGGGATAAACGAAGACACAAACACCCACCGCTTCCCCGCCTTCCAAGACGTCCTCAACATCCGCAAGAGCGTACCGTCGCCAGAACCGCACTGTACACTTCATTGCAACCACGGAGTCTGTGTTAAACAGATGATAGAAGGGTTTGGTAGCCCGCGATGTCAGTGTGTTTTAGATGAGGAGGAGGAGTGGAGTGTGGAGTGGTACCGGCCTGCTATGGAGCTTGAGGAACTGGATTTGATGTCCATTGCTCAGAACACGGAGAAGTTTGATCCCGCGCAGGAGATTGATATACATATCGAGGACGCGATGAGGGTGGTCTCGTATCTGGAACCGCGCGCTTTGGCTCGGGCGATGGACAACGGGTTTCTGAGACGCGCTATGCTGGCTGATTTCGGGCAGGATGAAGAAGGTACGACAAGGGATGCGGTTCATCGGTTCTTCTATTTGATGAGGGTATATTTCGATCGTACAGTCCACTCACCAGGCCATCGCGTCATGAGTATCGAACAGCTGCGGTGCGAGTTGGATGTGTATGTTTGGACGTTGCTGGACGAGTGGGTCATGAAGTATTGTGACCGGAAGACGCAGCGGTTGGTGCGGAAGGATAACGGCCCGGAGTGTATATTTAACGCCACCTTTGGTGCTCCGGCGGCGGTGCTGGAGCTGTGGTATGAGTGTGTTGAAGATATTGTTGGGGTACTGATATGGCGAGATGAAGAGGTTAGGTGGCGGAGACTAGAGGGTGTGATTGGGTTTTGTGTTGTGTTGATCATGTTCTTCTTGTTAGTCAGTATTTTGCTTTGGGGAGGTCTGGTGTCGCATATCTGATGGCGGTAAGGCTGAGTCAAAGAGGGGAATTCTTGGTATCAGCATTTAGTTATCGAGGTTCTACACCATCGCACTTTGGAGGTCGATTCGATTGCGGCGTATCATCCCATTCATTTCAAATACATGAGCTCGTTTTTCCACGTACTCAGCATGGGGCAGATCGCTATCTGCATGTGCATATGCTGGAACGAGTAGGCCTTCATCAGCCCAACAAAATGCAAACACGCAGCAATCACCACAGCGATGTGGAAGATCTGGTGCGATGAGAGCCACAGGTCAAATTTGCCTTGCTTCCAACACTCTGGGAATTGCATCTGTCTTCTGTTAGTCCAGCTATCGCTGAGCGTTGCAAGGCACGACTACATACCATAAAAGGACCCAGACTAGCCAGGCAGACGAAGCCGCAAGCCAACCCCCATCGTAAGCCTGCCATTTCGTCCATTCGTTCCCAACCGTACAATTGAATACCCCTCCACAGCGGAAAAATACCAGCGGCGGCAAAAGAGACGAAAAGTGGAACTACAAGGGCCTGTGCCCAAGACTTGGAAGCCAGAGGCGAAGCAAAGAAGAGCAGCATGATAGCGCCAAAAGCCGTGAACTATGTTTCATGTCAGCAGCTTCTAACCCACTTCGTAGCACCAAATCAACTTACAATGAGCATATAGGTGCGCATGAGCTCTACCTCGCAGGTGAACGTGTAGTATAGCGTCGCAATCAAACTGCCCCAGATAAGACACGTGATGCCCGCAAAATCCAACTGCTTGCCAGCCGTCGCCACAGATTCTGAATGGTCGAGGACGATGTGGTACGTGACGGAGAATGACATGCACAGTACCACACCGCCGAGGAATGCAGACAATGCCAGTAAATCACCGTTGCGTGGGGAGGGGAACCACTGTTTTGGGCCGCCTAGTTGCGGTAGGTTGTAGGTGGTGAGAAGCAAAACAGTGACTAAGAAGAGTAGGTGGGTGTAGATGTTTCCGGTCTCGTTATGGAGGTATGTGAGGCTTTTGATGGATTGGCGGTATGAATTGCGGGCGGAACGGTATTTGGTGACGATGTATTGGTTTTCTTGGCGCCATCCTGGTAATTGTCCGTAGTTGACGAGCGAATTCTCAATGGAAGGATCGTGCTTTTGCCCTACAGCGGTATTTTCTGGTCCTGACGACATCTTCTCGTTTTGATCGCGCATGTTGTTCTTGGTGATAGTAATCTGGGCGATGTACTGCTGCAACTTCGAGCAGTCGTAGCTATTATAACTGATACAACCCACATCTTCTCGCAGATGACGTCTGCCACGATTGTGCTAAAACAGGTACAATAATTGGCGTCACCTTGGCTAAATGTTGACAACTTCTTGGGGTGTACTCCGGAGTACTCCTAATGGTAGCACGCTCGACTTGTAGTCGCATTTGAAGGCGAAGTAGCCGGCTGCTCGGCAGTCTTAGGTTTGCTTAGCTCAATGTTCGACTGGTAAACTACCATTAGGCCGAATCTGGGGATGCAGTTTGCTTGGCGCACGATTAGGCCTCTGGAGACCGTTGGGCGGGAATCCGTAGCGTTGCCGCAACTCCGTCGTTCCAACACTCTGGAAGTCTAGAACCTCATACTCGACGTATTGACTGATCTTTGGATGAAGGACTGTGTGCTTGCTGGATTCCGAAACCGGCTTTCATCTTGTTGAGTTGTGAGGATATGTCTCCATGTGATGTTGCAACGCCACCAAGTCCAAAGGTATCAGCGCCTTGCCGAGTTTGTATTGCTAGACTCTGTCGAGTAAAGGTGCCCCCAGAGCTTTGTTCTGTTCGCTTTCACGTTGCTTAATCGTCTGCCAGATGGGTTGCAGTCGATCTGGCCCAATACGTTCTCATCATGCCGAAACTGTATAACTCAGCCGGTTCATGAAATTCGGCATCTGTCTGCATTTTGACGACTTCCGCAATCCAATGTTCCAGAAGAGGCCCAGTTTGTTTGTGAAGTGTATCGAGAAGCTGGACACAACGAATGCCTTCAATATCGTGGATGCGCTCGAGAAGTCTCAGCTCCGAGTTCTCGTATGCCTGCATCGCGTAAATACCGATAGTCTGACAAGGTGGTTGTGTGGCAAATGTTGCGCGACACATGCCTGGGTACCAATAATACATCGGACCGCATTTGGTAAATGGCGATACAGCGTCAATTCATCCATTGCTACAAAATCCCGAATAGTGTTAGTGGGCTGTATGTGGATTCAGGTTGGAGCGCGGTCTCGGCGTCGGCGGGTGGAAGAGAGGTGCAGAAGGCGCTTGGACGATGCGATGACATAATCTCGCGTAACCCGCACTAGATCTAATCTAGACTATCACGTGTTTTGCTGGTCTCGCAGCAGCCGAGACTACGGCGAGTGGTATGGTACTTTGCATTGAAGTGCATCGATTCTCCAAACATTACTCACTAAGTACATAGACTTCAGAGAACCCACCTTTTCCGTCTGGTTGAGGTGACGCAGCAGTAGTAGCAATTTCCACAGTCTATAGCAAGAAAAAACGAAGTAATGGCATGTCGTGCTATATGCTCCACAAAGAATCATCAGCAGAGGTATCGGAAATCCACTCCGCCCAACACTCACTGCTGGTGTCGACATATTGCTCTGCGATATCCAAAGTCTTCCATTCGTTTCCCAACATCCTCATACCCATCAGCAACGGCCGTTGGCTCACATGCTTGGAGAGATTGGGATTTTCATCCATGTCGTGATGATCGAGCGTGAGTATAAAATGCGGACGGGCACCGGCTGTGAATGCACGCCGTCTTGGGTATGATAGCTGCAGTACGCTTGGAGGCAGGGTGGCCAAGTTCTCTCGCATACGCTCGATTTGGTCCCTCCAATCCAATAGTACGGTCGCCGCATGTGCGTTCAGTATACTTGTTAGATGAGATAGACGTATTCCGTCCTTATTGTAGATGCGGGCCACTAGCTTGTGTGCAGTCCCCTCCAGCCACTGATCACTCGGAGTGTAAATGCCGATGCAACTACACGGTGGGTCGGTGACAAAGTGCGATCCTATATGGGAGTACAAGGGTCCAAGTGGGAACTTGAGCGGATGAAGGAGGCCTTCAGTGGGAGCATTGGTATTTAAGTAAATGTGACAGCGACCGCGATGTGTCTCGATTCCGCCGGTGTATAGGCGCTCCAGACACGGATGCAACCTGAACTGCGTGAAGTCCAGCCATTGCGGCTGCGGTTTGAAGTCGTCGTCCCGGGTAGGGTTAATGTCCCAAGCCACGCGATATGCGTAGCGCACGCGTTCTGCGACGGATGGCTTGAGCATATGCGATTGAGTAAGCCGAGCGGGTGCGTACGTCCATATGTTCCATCCGTTTGTATCCAGGAGAATCGAACACATTGCGTGGACCTTTTCTTCGAAAGCAAGTAGCTCTTCGGGGGTTACACGAAGGTTAACATTGTTAGTCGAACACACATCGGAGTATTCGACCGGGTTCTGATGCGGTGTATTTTCGAAGGGGTCCTGGAGAATGCGCTTCACAGTCGCTCGCCATAGCGTACAGACTTGGCCGGCGTGTAGTTGGGTCTGAAGGTCCGCGCTGTATAAGATCTGCTCGACCAGTTCCGCTATGTTCAAAACGCGGTGAGCAGCGGATGCAGTCGACGATGGATTCCGACCATGTTCATTACTCGGATCTGAAGTTGAAGGCGACGGTCCTGAGTCTACTGGATATCTGGCAAGCTGTGCATCAAGTAGAGCAACAAGGGAATCCTTCCAAGCGTGCCACCTACGCAAAGACGTGAAATTGATGTTTCCAGCTGTCGCGTCCAAAAAGAGGCTACGCCTTTCCCTCAAACTAATGCCAGATGACGCGCTGTACTCGGGGCTCTCAAAATAGGCTGCCGCGTCAAGCAATCGGGCTCGTAGTTCCAGAGGAATGGCCGATGGAGTAATTAGGGAAGAAACGGTCAATTGGGTTCGTAGTTCCAGAGGAGTGACCAATGGAGCCTCGATGCCAAACCATTTGAGCAAAAGATTGTTTTCCGTAGCAGCATCGCTTGCCTGCGGGGAGAGGGTGGTGTCTGCCATTCTAGGAGTGAGCTAGAGGGTGATGTCAGGTTGTCGGTGGGTCGCGCGGCGCTACCTCGGTCACACGCTGACTAATCCACTAGCCGGAGCTCGAACAAAACTCTCCGCGCCGCCGCCACCCTCTCTTCTTTTCCATATAGAAAGTTGCACCCACGAAATTTGACCTCACTCTTTGTTCCTCTACAAGATTGAAGTTGACATAAGCTGGGGAGAACGAACATCTTTGCCCCCAAGAACTGCCTGCCCCTACCGAATGGGCTGTCGGTCCCGTGGCTCCGAGACATTCCATTAAGAAATTTTCATCATTGCGACGTCTCCCTTCGCCTCGAACGATACCGACACGTATACGCACGAGTGACACGATGGATGCATAAGCGCGACCAAGGCGGTAGAAGTGATCGCTTTGGAAGCGCTGTACCATAACATGGCCCGTAAGACCAAAGCGATTGACCACATGGTCAATCGCATGAGCAAAGTGCGGCTGGTGGATGAGCGCGCTGCCCCGCCGCCCGATGTTCAAGACGATGCGCAGGAAGATGAGAAGAAAGCTGCGAAGCGCCAGCCCTTCCGCTTCTTCGATCTGCCATCCGAGCTGCGATTGCGCATCTACGAAGAGCTTCTGGTCTTCCCCAAGACCATCGACCTCGACCCTACGAACTACCGCACCGTCGCCCCCGCCCTCCGCCTCTTCCTCGTCGACCATCGCATGCACGACGAAGCGTCGCGCGTCTTCTACGGTCGCAACACCTTCCGCGTGTTCCCCATCCACGGCCGCTACATAAATCGCAAGCATCCGCTACTTGCATGGTTCCCTCGTAAATACCGCGCGCTCCTTACGCGCTTAGAGCTCCGACTGGGGCCGGGCTTCACGAAACCGCCGAAATGCTGGGTCGTGGATAGCCGGCTGGGTCTGGCAGCGGTGAAGAAGGTGTACAAACTGAAAATCTTTGTAGAGATTGACCCGGCATCGAACGAGGTCTTTGAGGGCTGGCGCGTGGGCAACAACTTCTATACTGAGTACTGCGTCGGGCTGCTGAGAGGCTTGCTCGCGCAGGTGCCGTCGATTGACGATGTGGAGTTTGACGCATACCCAAGCGTGTCCAAGGACAGCCCGCTTTTGAAAGGCCTGGTAGAAGAGACCAGGCTCAATCAGAAGCGCGTTGCCTGGGGCCCTGAGAGGGGCTGGGACAAGATTGTGGAGGTTGACTTGGCAAGCGTGTTGCAGAAGATGGGGCTTGGAGCTCAATGAAATGAGTCTGTCCCGTAGCATTCTCGCTGGCATGCTATGCGCTGCATACACCGCGTCACTTTATGTATATTCATGTATCATTCTTCGATCCTTGATTCGCATACCCAAAGTTGCTTGTTCAGTTCGCTTTTTCCCTTTCTAGTCGCTATAACAATGCCGAGGAACGGGGTGTGGCGTTCAGCCGCGCCTGTCTAGGTGGGCTGTGAGAACTCAGCCCCCGCTTCCAGCCTACCTACAACAACATCTGTCCCACGACTCGCAGCCCACAAACCTTCGTCGATCGCCCAAAACATCCCGCTGTTTTTTTTTTAGGCATGGAGCTGGAAGGATTTGGTACGGACCCGGTTGTCGCCTACGAACCAGCGGCCCACGCCGCAACCGGAACTTACACCACCATGTCCGCGCCTGCGCATGCCGAAACGAACGATGATGCCTACGTATACGAAGCTCTCGCAACAGACCGACCTCGTATCCGCCTTATCACCGTATGGCAAGGTGTCAGACGCGCGTCGTACCCTTACCCACCAACCGATAGCGACGAGATACGGTGCACCATCGACACATTCGAGGTAGACAAGGCTCCGAGCTACATTGCCTTGTCTTACACCTGGGGCGATCCCATACCGTTACACACTATTCGGCTCAATGGGAAACACTTTAGTATTCGAGAGAACCTTTTCGATTTCTTGAAAGCATTCGGTGCCAGCGACATTGGTCAACAGAAGCATTATCTATGGATTGATCAGCTTTGTATCGACCAGAGCAACGATAACGAGCGTGGGCATCAAGTACAGATGATGAGAAACATTTATCGTCACGCGTATCTTGTAATCAGCTGGCTCGATGTGTCATGTCACGAAGCGTTCAGAGAGATTGCATCAGGAAGATTTGACCAGGAAAAAACGTACGTGTGCACAAAAACCATCCTTTCAAATCGGTACTTCTCTCGTCTTTGGATTGTTCAAGAATTCGTTTTAGCTAAGAACATAAAGTTCATGTGTGGCGATGTATGGATTCATTATGGGCTATTAGAGTATCGTTCACAGATTCTGAAAGGGAAGACCCCCTCTGCTGGGTGCGATAATGCACGCAGTCTATTTAACACGAAATACGCATCAGCAGTATATAACAGGGATCTCGTCCATATTCTCAGTCATGGCGGCTCGGTACTGAAATGCGAGGACGGCCGCGATCAGGTCTACGGGCTACTTGGCATTGTTGGCTCTTCTCAACACGTTCCTGAAGTCAATTATCAGGATTCGGTCGAGCAAGTTTATCTGGATACCATTCGAATCATTCTGACAGAGAGTCAGAATCGATCAGCACACTCGACACTCGTCATTATTCTGAGGTTAGGCGAAAATATGTGTCTTCCACGTAGACATCTGATAGCGACACGTAAATTACTCGAAGACATCCGCATGCGCGCTATACCTTGGGTCAACCCGTACGCATCTCATCCAATCATACATGCGATCGGCGTCTGCCCTTCAAAATCACCAGTCGAGTGGTGGTATGAGTATCAGGGAGTTCGTTACGCCTTTCCGATAAAGAGCGATGCCGATCAGTCCTCGCAGAACTCGCCTCCTTCTTGACACCAACAACACGGCACCTCATACAAGGGAAAACCTGAACACATCTGCAGACTACATAAATATGAATTCATGCAAAGTGGGTGTGTTGACATCAATGTAGACCCCAGGGTGTTAACTTTTTCCCTAGGTTAACGTGACGGCGGGACTCAATAACAACTCTACGAAAGCGGCCCGGATGTCTGGTGCCCGCGTTTGTTTGTTTTACCAACGCAGTCTCTTCACACGTAAAGCGGATGTTGTCACTATGAATCGCGCATTCAATTCTCATCACGCATGCTCTTCCGACTTCACTGCGCGCACGAACGTTATCGTGTCAGCTGCGGTCACTTGCTGTATATATTGGAGTGTCCTAGACTTCGACTCTGCTCCATTATATCTCCTGCTTCTTCTGTCAAAGCTACTACTCATTCATATCACCAACAACTACCGAAGCTGTACGTTAAGAAGACATGAGCGCGACAAACGGCGATTTCGCAGAGGCACCGTCTCTCTTGACAATACCAGGCGAAGTGCGCAATGCTATCTTCGAAACCCTATTCGAGTTAGGCGACCCCATTCAGATCTCCCGCGATCGGTACGCGTACGGCTCCTCATGTTACCAGTCGCGAGATGTACGTGGGATCACGCTACTTCGAACATGCCGTCAGATCCACGAGGAAGCAACAGGTATTCTCTACAGTCGCAACATCTTCTGTGTGAGTCCGGCGGGCGACCCCTACACTGCTGAACCAATTCCATGGGCAATGGCCTGGCTCAACGAGATTGGTAGACAGTCTTCCTCTGTTCGACATCTTCAAATCTACATCGACAACATATTCCACGGTGCGGATGATGTCGTCAATATATCACCTATACTACATCAAGCATGGAAGCCTGATCGTGCGGCTTTAAAGGTTGAACTTCTCCCTAGATGGTCTCCGGAATGGGACCGCCCCCCAGGCGACGACCTCAACAGAACAGCCGAGCTGAACGCGGTCTCATGTAACAGTCAGATGGCTATAATCATTGATGATCCTTCAGGAATGATCAAAAGATTCTGTTCCGTGCCTTCATTACTACGAGAAGTCTACCTGAACTTCCTGGACCACTATGCTCGCCTCCATTACTATCATGCAACCAAGAGCGACGGCGGTCTACTATCTATGGACACGATTGATATAGTCGAAAACGGTGCGGAGAGTACATTTTCGAAAAGAATACCGATTACGGACATCAAACGCATAATGTCGTGCTGCGAAACTCGAAACACCATCTTGACCATGGCATTGTGTCCAGACGAGGGCATTATCTTTGACCTCACAAACCGCACAACAAACGTGGATGTGGCCTACATCGCATCGGTCACTACTTACTTGACTGGCACACACGAGATCGGCTTCCGGGAAAGAGCATTCGGTGTCACATTGACAAGTATGAGTACCCTGGCAGCTTTTACCGCGGAACTAAAGATACTCCGCGGACTGCCTCTCGGAAGTCCTACGAATATAACCATTCGCTACTATCTGGAAATTGACGCCTCCTTGGACGATGTACAGTTCGATGCTCTCGCGCTACTGCATGCGACGGTCTCTCACTACCTATTAAATTTTGTGCGCATCGAGGTCTACAACAAATCTGGCACTGCCCCATTCAAGAGCTACACTATCTCTCTTGAGGATATACGACGGAGCGTTCTTCTCTTCATGTACCAGATTTTTAAGAAAACTTCAGAGCATATGCTAGCGCAACTACCAAGGATCTGGATGAGTGGCAGGGGTGAGGCGCGGGAAGCCGAATGGGACTTGAGCAAGTGTTCTTTCGAGCCGATCGTGAATGAGAACGTGGGCATCAGCTCGACAATCATTCAAGCACGCTGCGAAGGAATTTTAGGGATCTTGGAAAGCATGCTCATTCCAAACAATTTTCCGCCTGACTCTATGGGGGATCTCGCAACACGGTTTTGGTACTAGGTAGGCCATGGATTCCGCTGCATGCAGTCTATCAAGTATGGATAAGTTCAGAGTGGCTAGGATAATGTATGCTTCAAATTAGAATTGTCTTGTGGAATACCTAATGCGACATGCATTCGATCGTCCCTTAACGCCAGGTGCTGTGGAAGAAGATAATAGCGTCATCGCACCTCATACAACTAAGGACAACTGGAACACTAAGAGGCAATGTAGACCTCTAGGGTCGACTTTGCTATATTGAATACGTGTTTGGTCTCTCTCCCGGATTGGTCGACCTTCTTAATCGTCAAATACACCAAATACGTACATCAAGCATTGGTATAACGCAATCTAATCCAGCTTCGCAAACCTTTCTTCGCGTAAGTACAGGTCGTATCGTAAGAAGTTCTGCGGTTGTCGCTATCCATGACGTAGCTCTTTCCATTTGGTGCAGCAAACGGCCATAGTCTTGGCAGTCGCGCTCTCTCACCTCAGAATCCTCGACTCTACAAGCTTTTCCCACTACCAGCGACTACCCTTCTTTCTTCTCTCACACACTCGTTTTCAGATACTGATCGCCAGCGCTACGGCGACTGAGACCACCCTCGCAGCGTGACAGCGAGCGACATGAGTGCGACACCCGGTACCGCAGCCGGTGGCGCGACTCCCGCTACCGTCAGTGACGCAGAGTCGAGCGACATGGCTGTCACCAAGATCGCGAACACGCAAAAAGACACGAAAGCGGCGACTTCAACGGACAACGTTCCGCCGCCAGTATCGCACCCAATCGACCCGAATGCGCCTTCATTGTTGAATCTGCCCGGAGAAGTTCGCAACGCCATCTACGAGGCACTCTTCATTCACGAATATCCTATTCAGATCCATGCGAAGAACATCGATCGACTCGGCTACCACTCCGGCTACCGCTCCGACAGTATTATCTCCGGAACTGCGCTCCTCCAGTCATGTTGTCAAATCCAGTATGAGGCCACTGGTGTCTTGTACGCACGAAACGTGTTCCGTTTAAGGCTCCCTGAAGATTCGGACGAGCGTAGTGGCATTATGTGGGCTATGGGCTGGCTTCGCATGATTGGCAAACAGTCGTCTTCTCTTCGCGTCATCCAGCTTGATGTCAACAACTTGCTTGACGCAGACGAAACCTTAGAAGTCCTACCGATACTAGAGTACACCTGGAAGCTGGAACACAAGGAGATGAATGTTCTATTTGTGGCACCACTTGAGGTGCACGGTAGTTTCTCATACTTCCAAAGCAATCGGGAATGGTCCGCCAGCCACACGGCTAAGATTAACAAAAGCTTGAGTACGCTCACCGCTGATCCCTCGAACCTTCTTAGGAAGTACTGGATTTCCAAAATGCTGTTGAGGGTCGGACTCGATTCAGATCGATCGAAAGTCTACATTTCATACCGCCATAATCACCGTGATGGTGGTAACTGGATGACGAAAGGCCGCATATCAATCAGCGATGAAGGTGAGCTGCGTGTGATCCCGCGGAACAGGAACACAGAGTTTTGCGACCTCATGAGTATATACTCCGTTAGGAAGAGGCTTTTCGATTTGTTCCAGCCCCCAGGAGTTGAACTAACCTTCGACTTGGCGCACCAGACTACGAACAGCAACCTTAGAAGCCTAGCTGGGCTGAATCGTTGGTTACGTCACGAAGCCATCTCAGAAGTTTGCGATGTCGATTCAACCTTCAACTCAGCAACTTCGACGCCGAAATACAACTTTGCAACCGAGCTGGAGAGATTCACGGCCATCCGACTACGGGGTCGCCCGCGCTACTTCCATCTGTATTTCGACCTACCGAAGCACTCTACTCTTGAAGATGTTCGGTTCGATGCACTGTTACTTTTATCTGCGATGGATTCGATCAACCGCAAAGTCCATTTAGAGATCGAGGTACGCCATCCGCTCGATTCTGAGACACCAAACCACTGCTTCACGTTGTCCCTAGACCAACTAAAAGTTGGCGTTCTTCTCTTCATATACGATTTTCTGAAGACCTATCCCAACCGTGCCGATCTTCCGTGCCCTACTATCTGGACAAATGGATTTGGTCAAGCGAAAGAAGCGTCATGGCAAAATGAGCTCGGGTTGGACACTCTGGTTAATTCATACCTGGACAACAGTTATAAGGTGACTGGGTGGGTTGATTACAAACTCACGAATGACTGGAATTGGCTGGTCAACAGTCATGTCGGTCCTTGCGTTAAGGGCTCGTTGTTGGAGTTCCTTAGGAAGTCACATAGGTGGGGATATAGGTATGATCTGACGATATTATCGGGATAATTCGCTAATGCGTTCTAGCTTTTCGAATGCGGATTCGAGCTCTCCACTGCATTTTTGAAGCTCTCGTGTCAAGGGGTTTCTTTCCATCGCACCAAGGACAAATTGGGATACGGTGGAGGTTCAGTGATGACTATCGTTCCTCTGAAACCCACTTCCCCGCTCCTCGGTCTATCACATGGTTTTATCGTGCTCGTTCTTCATTTCTGTTTTCCCCAGCAACTGGTCCTCTGATCATGGGAAGGAACTTGCCGCACACGAAAGCGTTTGAGTTCGTTACCTCTTCATCAGCGAAACTGCAAGCATCGTAGGATGCATGGATGTGTCTAGCTCGATAGCGCAAGCTATATAGCAACCAATTTATCAAAGTAAGATTTTTGGTTCTTGAAATGAGTGAATATGACCGAGCCGAGGTAGGGGAGTTATCGGATACGTTTGCAGGTGTAAAGTGCTGTCTATGAATGCGATGGCGAGCTTCTGCACGGTCGCACTATACATTGTTAATGGTCTACACGACGAAGACGCAATTGCAGGCACTGACATAGGTTCTGGAGGCGCGTTGCATACGCGGGTGACACGTATGAACAATGATCGCGGTTCTGCTGCTCCTAGTGACTATGCGATTAGGCATGCAGCAATGTCGTTGTGAACTCGCATTGCGACGTAGGATGCTCGTGGGCTGCGCGCGGAGAAGGAGTGTACGCGACAACCAATCACAGCACAGCAGACAAGTGATGACGCGTTACGTCATCGTGTCACTGGTCCAAGTCGCGCCTTCTGCCTTTCTCGACCACACCAACGGCACAACAACTCGGCGCATGCTTGTAACATAGCGCGATGGCATTATACTCTCCACACTTCAAAGGCGAACGCATAACCGTGGTATTTCTATTGCCCTACTATCACCGGTTCTTCACGCTAACAACATCAATACAGCTCTCCAAACTTCTAGCCGCATACTGAAGTCGCGCCTCCGGAAAGCATCTCGCTGGCTATCGCCACGCACACGGAAACGAACGGACCCTTAAGCCATATCTCGTCTACTCAGCTGCCGCCCTCACGAACAAACGCTCGATATCGGGAAGCATGTCCAATGGGTTCTCGCTCGCATCCAATGCCTGGTCCTCGACGAATTCGCCATCCCTGTCAACGTATGGCTGGGGGTCAAGTTCCCAATTCTGGTTCTTACAGAATCTAGCCAGACGAACGTTGCAGAACACAACCGACTTCAGTTCTTTGATGAGGCAGCGCTGACTGCTGTCACAGGAGGCGTCCTCATTCGGATCCTTGAACATGCGTACGATTGCAACCTGGAGAAATGGCTTTGCCGCTACGATATCGTCCATTGCACTGAAAAGTTGTCGGTCGCAACACCTCATATGGCGCTGCAGACCCCGCGCCTCGAGGCGGAACCGGATATAATGGGGCAGGACGAATGTGATCTTGTTGAGTCTGTAAGCGCCCGCCAGCATCCAAGCCAGACTACGCCACGAGTCTTCGAAGTCTAGTCGCGGGAAGCGCTTACGGAGTTTCCCTTTGGTCCACGGATATGAGAAAGGCATGAGGTCGTATACCTCGTGTGTGCGAAGCCAGGTGTGTGGGTTCCAGTGTGAGGCCATGCAACCGCGGTCTCCCGAGCGGCAAGGGATAGCCATGGTCATGGATTTCATGAATCCCAGATTCCTCGACCCAATCTTCGTCGCGAACGCATACGCTACCATGTGGCCGTTGAGACCCGAGAAGCGGAACTCATTGTTGCCGTAAAAGACCTCGGTGGCTTCAGCGCATACTTGCTTGCACGTACGTAGCAAGCCGAGGTTGCGTGGGCCGCGTCTGCCGAACATCTTTCGAAGTCTAGACCTGTTGCGTACTCTTCGGTAATACTCGGTATCCATGTCTCCGGTCTCTGGCCACAGCTCGATCGGCTCGTCGAATTCAAGGGCATGCCCGTAGATCATCAGACGGATTTCGAGAGGCATATCGAGGAAGCCAACGTTCTGAGGCTTGTTCTATAGACTTGTGAGTATACCATTATGTGTCCAGATCCATAGGGTACTTACCACAGGCTTCTGGAACTTACGTTCACCGTAGATCTGAGTATATCGACGGTATGGACGGAGGTTGTCACAGGAGTGGACAAGGAACGCACGCTTAGCGTTCAGCTTTTTCATCTTCTCGGTGTGCGCTGCTTGCGCCGCTTGCGCCTCCTGTTCTCGCTTCATTTTCGCCTCCTCCATCTTTCTCATCTTCTCAGCGCGCGCTACTTGCACCTCCTGCTCGCGCTTCAGTTGAGCTTCTTCTTTCTTGATCTCTTCCTGAGCCGCTTCCGCCTGCCCGAAACCCTTGTGCATGGTCTCGGCAATCTGTTGCGGCTCACTCGTCCCTGCTTGGGCAACTTTCCGAGCTTTTCGCGCTCGCCTTCTAGCTGATGCACTCTTCTTCTTGCGCTCGACACCCTCTGGTAACACGTTATCTGGAGAAGCAGACATGTCTTGGATGCTTTGCTAACGTGTAGAAGTTTTCGGGTTGGTTGACTGGTTCGTTGAGATTTTGATCAGGCTCGGAAGCGTACGGGCATATATAGGGGTGCAGTACACTCACGCCAAGTCTGTGCATCACGCATTAGGCTCCTACTCGAAATATCTAATCATTTGGGTCAAATTACGCTCGCCATTGGAGGCCAGAGAACCTTCGGCTATTTCACTCAGAGCTCAAAGTAATGGTAATCCGCCCCCCTACCGAACATGTTGATTGCTAGGACCAAGCCCATCGATACCTAAATGCCTGGGTACTCCAATGACGCCCATGTATATTCAGTAAGCCCAGACCAGTAATTTTGCTGGGAAAAGATATGTCCGGAGGTCCATTCGGTGGTACCTTGGGCCTGTACCAGACTATTGTCGCTTATCAAAAGCGCTTCCGCTACGATCCCAACATCTGCAGCGTGCACCATGTCATCACTACGGAACAGCAAAAGAAACGAAGAAGTTTGAACAATGAATGTTGTATTGCAATAACTATTCAAGCATCCTCAGTTTCCTCCTGACTCTCCACCCTGACCTCCATTGGTAGTGCAGTTAACCTGACTCTCAATCCCGTCAATGTTCAAGCAAGTATACTGGTTCGTTCCACTCGGGCTCGTAACATTAACATTCTCGATGTTGATATTTGAGCAAACTGCCGGGCTGGAGCAAACCAGATAACCCACAAGCGGGTCATACTTCTTGCTGGTCGTGCCGTGGAAGTTCTTGACTGTGATGTCGGAGATGGTGAGGTTGGAGGGGAACTGCGATCGCATTAGTTTTCGAAAAAGAGTGGATAGATGGGTGGGAAGGAACATACCTGGTTGCAAAGAGTCAAGTTCTTCTGACCGTAGCACTGAGTAATCTCAATCGCATAATCAACGTTCGAGATAGTCATGCCGTCGTACGTAATGTTCTTAACGGCACCACCGCCACCTCCACCCTGCAGGTCACCAGAAAGAGCGGAAGAAGCACCAGGCCAGACCTTGATACGCGCACCATCCGACGCATTCGACATGCTGATGTTGTACACGTAGATGTTCTCGACAATATCAACTTCGCCTGGGTACTGGCCCAAAGAACCAACACTAATACCGTGGCTACCGTTGCAAATCAGGTTCTGAACAACGATGTTGGTGCTGTTGGGCTTGAACGACACGCAATCGTCGCCGTTGTCGATGTGCGAGTTCTGAATCACAATATTGTCGGAACGGTACGTGTCCCAGCCATCCGTGTTCTTAGCGGGGTTCTTGCTCTTGCTGCCACCGAAGATGTCGATGTTGTCGAAGACCACGTCAGTCGAGTTGGCGACGAATGTGTACCACTGCGGACTGTATCTGAACTTCAAATCTGAGATAGTCGCGCCTTCCGCGCCGATGACACCGAATAGGATCGGGCGCAGGATATAAATGTCCTCGGCGTAGAGGTCGTACCAAGCTTGGCCGTTTCCGTCGAGAGTGCCACCGCCATAGACATTGACGTCTTTGCCGCCGAGCTGGAAGAAGGTGGTGGCGTTTTGGTAGATTTGCTTGAAGGAGTTGGCTTGCCAGTAGTCGGTGTCGTTTGTGAATTGGATGGATCCTTGGATGTCTTTTTGACGATTAGCGCTACAATATCGTAGCTTTTTGAAGGTGACATACCCAGATCAATGCTGTTGAGGAAAGTAAGATCCAGCGCGGTTCCAATGGTAAACTTCTGGTCCTTCGGGAAGACAACATGACCGCCGTTGTTGCACTGCTTGATCGCCTTCAAGATGTTTGCGGAATCGTCCTTGCCGTTACCGAGAGCCTTGACGCTGCAGGTCTTGGTACGTGGCGGCGATGCCGGGCATGCTTTCTTCGGGTGATAAGGATACGCCGGATGGTGTGGCCTCTTCGACGCAACGACCTTGACGCTTCGCTCATCAAGAGGTGTCGACAGTACTGCTGATGCTTGCAGCAAAGCGCACGTGAAAAGTTCGGTGACGCGCATATTGGCAGACGTATATGCCGATGATACTAATTGACAAGCTGGGGTTCAACGTCCGTACCTCGAGAAACATCGCGACCCCGACCACCTAATATACCCCCATCGCATCAACCCCAGCCGTCCGAGCCGCGGCCTTGGCCCTGGAACCACCTCAAGATACCCGCTCCCGTAAAATTGGATGGCGCGG